CACAAGGTATAGATAGGGACTCTGGGGCAAGTGATGCTCTGTCATCTTGGTGCTTGGGGGGGTCAACAGTGGGATGGCTTCTAATGTCCTGGCCCCACTGGTGGACCTCCTGATGGCACTGGTATTTCTGGCCACTCTGGGATACAGAGTGTTGGACTGGATGGGCCTTTGGCCTGATCCAACATTGGCATCTCTTATGTTCTTATGTTACATAGGCCTTTCATTAACTTTTTTGCTTGAGGGTGAAAGAAAAGCAGACCCTCTTCAATTTCATTTGCCGAGATGGCCTCTAAGTGGACTTTAATAGATGGAGAGCCCCCCTATCTTTCAGTGCCAGCAGATATTCAAAGATAAGCAGCAGAGGGCATGAAGCCGAGCAAAATTTTTGGGTCAAAGCCCAGGAAGCATCTCATTTTGCTGAGTACGATTTATGGGTACTAGGCTTCAAGCCTGCCTCTATAGCCTCTCAGGCCCTCTCTGATAAACAAAACGGATCAGCCATGCTGCTAAGTGCAGTGGCTGCACACTGTGGTGTACTAGGGGACACTGATGGAGGTCTGACTCTGGTGGTAAGAGGATGTGTGTCCCCCAAGCTAACTCTCATAGAGTTGGGAGACCACAGGGTCTTCGGCTAGTAAGGGGCAATGATGATGTCCTGCACTCTCTCTGCCCTGACCTTGGAGAACACGTTGTGGAGTATGGGCAGTGGAGGGAAGGCATAAAGGAATTCTCCTTGCCAGGTGAGTTGCAAGGCATCTGCCAGGGAACCAGGCCCCTGAGCTGCTCTGGTGCAGAAACGAGTGCACTTGGCATTTAGAGGGGAAGTGAACAGGTCTGTGGATGGCTGACCTCATTGGTGGAAAACTGTCCTTAGGTAATGGGAACTGATGGACCGCATGTGATCTCCTGACAATTCCCTGCCTAGAGAATCAATCTGCTGCAATGTGGGTGGCATGAACAGAGGCCTTGATCTGGGCGACTGTGAGCCAAATGCAGAATGCCTCCTTGCAAAGGGAGATAAATCCTGCACCACCCTGTTTGCTTACATAAAATGTGGCTGTCATGTTGTCTGTAGCCACGGGGATCCTCTTCCCTTGCAGGAGTTCTGAAAAAGATGCAACAGCATATATAATAGTTCCTAAAAGGTTAATGTGAAGGGATGACTCTCCATCCAACCAAGTGCCTTGGGTGGCTAGCCACTCACAATGTTCACTCTACCCCATAAGGGAGGTGCCAGCAAACATCTGAATCCATGAACCTGTGGCCCGAAGGCTTCAGCCAAGGAAAGGCTGTTTTTGGAAACCCACCAGTCTTGGCACTGTAATACTCTTCTGGGGATTGAGAGTTTGCGGGACTGAGGGTCCACATGCAGCCTAAAGATCCTAAGGAACCAATTCTGCAATTCCCTCATTCTTAGCCTGGCATAGGACAGCTGTTGCCACTGCCATCATACCATGCAGCTTTTGTATATTTATGGCCCTCTGAAATCGATTACCCAGAAAGTGAGAAACTAGAGACTGAATGGCCCAGCATCTGGGCTGCGGTAGGAAGGCCTTGCCCTTCTTCAAGTCTAATTTAGCCTCAATGCATTCCAAGCATTGGGTATGGATAAGGCGAGATTTCTCAAAATTAACTAAAGGGCCCAGCTCCTGAGGGGTTCATAGAGCTAGCTCAACTGAGGAACATAGGGCTTGTTTGGATGGCCCCACAAACAACCAGTCATCTAAGTAGGAGTACACTACACACCCCTGAAGCCTGAGGTGAGAGACAGACGACCAAAGACATATACTTGGGAAAAATACAGGGGGCCACAGCCAACCTGAAGGGCAGGATGCAGGACTCATAAGGATCCACACTGGAATCTGAGGTACTTCCTGCCTGTATGACTCATGTATGGCAATGTGAAAATAGGCGTCCTTGAGGTCCCAAGTCCATAAACCATACCTCTAGTGATAAAAGGGAGAGGATGTCCTGTAGGGACAGCAGGACCCCTCCTTTTTAATGAGGAAATATCTGGAAAAGAAGTCATCTTGACTACACTCTGCCGAAACCTTCCTAATCGCTATTTTAGACAAAAGGGAGCAAACCTCATCCTCCAGTAAAGCTGGGGGGACCTTTGGTGAGGACTCAGGCCAGTTATATAGAGGAGGGGACTAATATTCCAGAAAATAGCCATAAGACACTATAGACAGAACCCAACCATCTTTAGTGATATTAACCAACTGTGATAAGCAGTTATCAAAAAACAATTGACTGGTTAGTCATGTGAGTGACTTCCCCTTCCCAGTCTGCTCCCTGAGAGGGCTACTATGCAGCTTTCCCTGCTGCTTATTCTGGGGTTTCCTGCTTTGGTGCACCTGTGAATAGGAGGAGCTGGTACTGGTGTTGAGGAGACTGGTAGCAAGACTGTCTATAGAATGGGCCCCCATGTCTCAGGAAGTGCCTGGGCTTGCCCGTGGTAGCTAGGGGTGATGGTTAGGCCCAATGATCTGGCAGTGAGTTTGTTCTCCCTCATCTGCTCTAGGGTAGCATCTGTTTGGCTGCTGAAAAGGTCCCATGTTTGCCCACACAGAAGCCACAAAGACGAACTACAGATTTCTGTCCATTCCCATAAAATGCCACCTCCAAACTACAGGGAAAGTACCTCAAATTCACAACTGAATCCCTTTTTATAGATGGATCTCAGTGGCGACCCCACTGGCCAGAGAAAGGAGTGGACCCTCCCCTTTCAGTCAGGCTGAGGGTTGATTGGAGAGCAGTGAATAGCCTTGCTGCCACTTCAGAGGGAGGCTGCTTCCCCTTCCCTTTTCAGTTCATCATGGAGCTAAGTAAAGCTAGTGACAATAGCAGCACGTCACTTGGATGGTGAGCAGATAACTAAGGTTATCCTAGAAAGCCAGTAGCAAATAATCAAGATGACCATCTCATGCTGAATGATCTGTGTCTAAGTTCTGTTATCATGAATCTCTGTAGTGAGCGATCAGATTCAGCACCAATCAAATTTTGAATAGGAGTCATCTGGACATGTAGAGCTGCATTAGGGCCAGGATTTTTAAAAGCAGTGAAATGTTTGTCTCAATTTTTTTTTTTTAAATCCTTTTAGTCCATGATTTTGGATGCATACACCCACACTGGCAGCAATTCAAGCAACAGCCCAAGGTGAAAATTCACACAGAACATAAATATCAGCTTTTGACATTCGTTTTTAAAATGACGTTTGCATTTTTGCCAAACTTTGTTTCAGTTCTAGTTTGCCCATATGTGATTTTGTGATTCACTCATGAATTGAGCAGCTGCTCTTATGAATGTAACGAGGGAGACAGAGCTGAAGGCCTTGCTAACAGGAACGTTTTTTAAATGACAGAACTCATTGTTGGAGATAATTTATGTTTAACCTTGAGGTTAATGGATAAGCCTAACATAGTTTGATGACAACCTGTCATATAGTAATTGTATGAAAAGCTTTCTTAACGTTAGTAAAGGTAAACGTTTCCCTTGCTTGAAAGCCAGTCGAATCTGACTCTAAGGGGTGGTACTCATCTCCATTTCCATGCTGAAGAGCCAGCGCTGTCCAAGGATGTTTTCATGGTCATGTGGCCGGCTGTTACCTTCCCACCAAAGTGGTACCTATTATCTACTTGCAATTTCTTGCTTTTGAACTGCTAGGTTGGCAGGAGCTGGGGCCAGAGACAGGAGCTCACTCTTTCACGTGACACTAGGGTCTTGAACTGCCGAACTACAGACCTTCCGGTCTGCAGCTCAGCGTTTTAACCTCTGAGCCACTGCAGGCCCTTTTTTACTTTAGGGAATGCTTATTACGTTTATCTGTGCTTTAGAAGTCTCCCTGTACATTTGTAGAGGATTTCAGGGCAAGTTCTTGCTCACACACAGAGTGACAAAGAGTTTTCCCCTCAAATGGCTGCCATTTGAGGGGAAAACTCTGTTTCCCCCTCAAATGGTGTGGCCCCGCCCAGCGTGTGATGTCACTTCCGGTGACGCTCCGGCGGCGCGCGCGCACTTCTCGCACGCACACACGCAAGACTCCCGGAGGGGAAGGAGCCTCCCCCGCCGGTGAGTCAAATCTATTTGGCAACCCTAGTTGAGCCATGGGCCTTGCTGTTGCTCCAGATGGTGTGACCCTAGAACACCCCTGTGGCTGTACATGGCAGGGGAAGAAATATGACTGAGAATACCCCTGTGTTTGCACATGGCAGGCTATGTTCTCGTTTCTTCTGAGGAATCCCAGGTTTCTTGGGAAAGCACAGTTTCAAAAACGACTAGCTTAAACAAAATATTGGAACTCGCCTTCAATTCACCAAACTGACCTGTTCACCCTTGATTGTCACATGGTATGTGGCAAAGGATTTGGCTTTTCAAGCCTATATGATAATAATAAATACATCATGTTAGCACCAAACCAGTGGCTGTTAACACTGGCCAAAAGAGGTCACACATGGCATTACAAAACAACTAAGTCACAACTATTGATAAAGCCATGACATAATGTATGTTCGCTGAGTCCTTGTGTAGCACAGATTGCTTTGTTGTTGCTTTTTTGTTGTAAAAAAATTAATAATCACATTATTTCTTCATAAGAAATTAACCTCAAAATGCCAAAAATACCCCAATGAAAACCCATTTAGCACCTTGTAATGATCAGTGCAGCTGCTAAGCAGAAGAGAAATTACTGAACAAAAGTAAACAATTGGGTACAGTGACAATAAAAGTATCACTTTGTCATAATGCTACATATAATGTAGAGTACGTAAAATGCAGTGGTTTGACTGCAAAGTTAAAACTTTTTTAAAAAAAATTAAAAAAACAGGATAAGCAGCCTTAATATAAACATTTTACGTACAAAAATATTAAATCAAAAATAAATAATTCGAGACATAAATATTATACTTTAAAACATTAAGAATATACAATATATATACACACACGCACGCACATATGCACACACACATTCAGACACACACAGAGTGAAAGAAGTACAAAAGTGGAAGGCAGAGGTATTGCTTAATTATCCTTCATCCATCTTGTTTCAGTTCCTGGCGTTCAGAGACCCTGGGAATAAAATAAAACACATAGCTCTTGTTTCTGGTTTTCAATGTCATGAATATTGCTTCCACATGGACATTTAGCTCTAGAGTGGCACGCGAACCAGAGACTTTTGTTAAAAAAAACATCAACTCCTAATTTGTCCTCTTTCTGTGTTTTCCCCTGCTTTGGAGCAGTCTTCCCCAACTTGGTTTCATATGAACTTTTGGAAAAGATCACAGTCAAAGTGTGGTTGTATGTCATGTGGATGAGACAGTGTGCATTTCCGCAGGGCCCGCTCATATTGGCAACATTTCCCCCCCCCCAGTCCTCCATTTTCTCCCACCACTAGAAGAGTTTTTGTGAGGTTTTAAAACACTGGCTACTGAAACGTCACTATCAAGTTATAACAATCTATCGTCCACATTCCCAGCTTTGATTTTTTTTTTAAAAGCACAGCCTTTTCATTGTG